CCCGCTACTCTATTCAGATTGCATCTTTAATTAGTTTGTCAGTGTCCTTCTGGAACATAGAAACCGTTCTATTCTATGAGGCGATTGTGTTAACGCAAAACATATGTATATTATTTTGTAATAGGCCGAATTGTATTTCTATTGGGCTTAACTAGTTACTTCACCCGTACGTTGCACGGGAGTGAAGTACCTACATAATACTTCCTCTACCCCAAATTGATTTGTAATGTCAACATTTCTTGGTTAACCAATTTTAAAGTTAAATCATTCCTACTGAAAATTGATTCAATTTTTAATAATTAAAATTTACATATTCAGAATTTACATTAAAAGTCATACAAATCTGTAAAATTCAAATTAGAATATAATAAAAAATTGATATTTTAATCAAGTGAATAAAATGAAACTATTTGATAAAAAGAATCAACTTTGCAAATCAACTTGGAATGGTGGAAATAGTTTAGATGCAATTATATGGGGAAAAAATGATGATGATCCATTTTACGTATAACAAAAAATAAAACTGAAAAAAAAGAAATAAATAAATGGAAAACATCATACGATGAAAAGATGTACACATAGAACTTCTAATGAAAAGTACAAATGATTATACATTTCTTTATATGCAACATTTATTATTCTCGAGAGCGTAGTCAAGCACAATTGTGCATGTGTAAAAAAGAGTCGGGGCCATGAAAGAAGATGCTAAACTTATCCGGTGATTTATCATCACTTTTCTTATGATTTCTCATTGCATAGCTAATTATTAATAAAATTATTGCTTATTCACTTATATGGATATAACTACCCAGGTCTGGCCGGTCAATTCCTAGGCTTCGGGCATCATAGGCCGAATAAAAGTAAATTTGACACATCATTACTTGTATTTTTAAAATCACTATTATTTTTAGGCACAGACAACTTTTACAATTGTGTTTGTGTGTTTGTGTGTATGTGTGTGTTTATACACAAAAGTGTGTGTATGTGTGTGTTTATACACAAAAGAGTCATTTCAATCTTTTTTACTATTAATTTTATTTGATAATTACCTCATTAGAAGTAAAGGATTATCCAACTTTCTTTTTTCATCCGTCCCAATTAAAATTTTCACTTTTCCTTTTTTGGTAAAGAATTTGTGGTTCACAACATTTCTTACACATTTCTCTCTGCTCTGCACAACTCTCCACCACACAATACTCACTATCTTAAACTGTGTGTCCAACCCATTTGGAAGTTTTATTAGGGACGAAGGTAGTACATTACTTATTTATCACCACTTTCATTATTGCTTTCTCCCTCGTTTGTTTTCTCCCTCGTTTGCTTTCTTTCCCACTTTTTTTTATACTTATATACACGCATCGTGAACAATGGGGATGGAGTTAGGCACTCCTAATGTATTTTCTCAAACCAATATATGTTTGCCCTTACATTTGTGTAGCCCAATTAAGCTTATGAGTCTAACAGTTCACTCGGGAAAGCGAAACACCATTAGATGCACCACATCCACATTTGGTAAATGTGAATTCTGACTCTGGGTACCTTCTCACGAACTACTTATTAATTATTATTGTACCCAATGTAAATTCAAATCATCAATTCCATAAAAAATTCAGCTTATTTCACCATAAAAATATATGAATCTATCACATTTTAGACTTAGTTCACAATTTGAGTTTTTTTTATTGTTTACGCTCAAAGGATAGCAATAGATTTAGAGATATCAAATCTAATAATACAATCTATGGATAGAAAATTAAGTATACTGCAATATTATAACTAAGCCTTGATAGATTAGTTTGAAACTTTCACAAGTAAACCACGTGCATATATGATGGACAAAGAACTATAAAATCAAAGATGTAACTTACTACTCCGTATTTACTAACCCCAATCAAGGTTCAAAATAATTATCAAATGATAGACTAATATTGTGTGAATTACAACACTATTTTAGAGACAATTGCTTAGATTCCGACCATTAAAGGGAAAATGATTCTCCCTGAACAAAGTTTAAAGGCAACATGTACTGTGAGTAATTTTATCTAATTTCACAAGAGATAATCACGAGAACAAAGAGAAACGTGAAGAGATATGTAATGTGGGGGAGCATATAAGTAATACTACGTATAATCAGTTCATCAGTGATATTATGCTTAAGATATGTGACCTAAGTTTCTTGATCAAGGAAAATGGTTCTCCATGAACAAACTGTCATTTCAAAGAAATTTACAACAAAATCTGTGGAAAATGATCCTTCTTTTACAAAGGTTCATAGTATGTAATTTTATCTAATTCCACATTATTTCCACAAGAGATCATCAAGAGAATAAGAGAAACATGGACAGAAAATGTAATCTATTAGGTTTTGATGAAGAACAAATCCAAAATTGCATTGTGCTTAATCGGAAAAGGAGTGAAACTCCAAGGATAAAAGAATCGGGTACCATGCTTCTTACATCTTATGAACCGATACTCAAGCAAAACACATGCATACAGCATATAAGAGTCTTATGTAGTGTTTTAGTGACTTTTTTTTATAAACTCCAAGTAGTAAATAAAAGAGGGGCATAAATCACTTTTTTTTACCAAATGTTATGAAATGGATGAAAGATACAGAGCCCATTTGGTAACACTGAAATCGACTGAATCAATTGATCTTGCTTGTATGAGCTGATTTATGAAAAAATTAAATTTTAAATATACTCCTATTTTATAAATAAAATAAAGAAAAACTATATGTAAAAATAGCTAAAATGATCCTCTACAGTAAATTCAGTCAAAACAGCCAGAAAAGTAACTTCAATCTTACTTTTCTTATTATTACACATTTTAGCGAGCGAAATCAAAAGTTACGTATTTGATGAAAAAGTTGACTGATAAGTCTAATAAGATGAATAACAGTGTTAAAAACGGGCTCACAAATTTACCTTTATTTTCATTTACTGAATGTTGTTATCTTATTTGTATTTAGAGAATATACTTTTATTGTTTTTCCTAGATGTTTCAAGAACATATAAAAATTACACTCATATTTCCTATAGTTTAAGCCATACCAAATGAGCGCATAATATCATATCATTCCTTGGGTTTTCATATCACATATTACTAAAAGGAAAATGTTTCATCCTTCCAATGTTGCAATAACATACATGAGCAAACCCACCTAGACCAAGACACATGACCTCATAACTTCATAAGAAGTAGCGACACATTGATAGATACCAAAGTGGAGTTGCATTCATAAGAACACAAATCCTCATTTGTGGTTTGGGCAATAAACTTAATATCATGGGTAAATCTTCCCAGATGTTGGCAAATCATCAGGAGCACAAATATGGAGTACCAAGTTCATATAATGTGGAAAAAGAAGAATTTGAGTAAAACACACATTCTAGACAAAATGAATTGTACACTCAGTGAAACTTAACAATCAACTATGCTAAAAACTTGAACTATTTCCAAATATGAAGTTATACAGAAACATTGAAATCAGCAATAACAGGCTCTTCAAGGTTTAAAAAGATCACATCTTGGAGCTAAATTCCAATTCAGTGTAATGTTCACAACTTTATATGCTTGTTGAGGATAACAACTTTACATTTTACAGAAATATCTTCAATTCCAACATCTCATTGTATGATTTCTGCAATTTTTCATCATTAGCTTTTATTTCAGAGTTGATGATGCAGGTTAAACTAAGAAATGATAAATTAAACAAAATGCATATGATACTGGTGATATAGAAACTCTTAGGGGAACAAAGCTGGTGAAACTAAACTACTACGTAATAAACTTTGCAGGATATCAATCTAATAATAGCAAATTGTTTTAAATCTGCACAAAAATTAACAATAATAATAAGCCATAGTAAAAAAAGTAAAATGAATAAGAACTTGAGAAGAGTTGTGCCATATGGAAACATAAATAGAATAAGAACACTCCTCTACAATAAAAATAATATAGTGAGTAGATTTATATTTGTTCAAACAGGGGAGACTGAACATATAGTGAGTAGATTTATATTTGTTCAAAAGACTTCTCTACATGACTTCTGTTATTTCATTCTAGCCAACATCGTCTAATACTACTCTTTTATGTACGAATTTATAGCATACTTAATATGATTTATTCTGTTATGTTCTTTGCATAACCTTAGAAAATAAGATGTTCACATTTAATTAAGTGATGATTCAGGTGGATTAAGACTTTGGCCTCTCCATTTAGCTAAATGCAACATAAATGTCAAGGAAAAAAATAAATATAACAGGAATAAGACTTTTTGTCGAATACAAAAACACCTCAAATGCATACATATTAAAATAATTTTCACCTACCAAGCCCAATGAATAGACCGCACTACAAGATTTATCACTTTTTACTACAAATTAGTTTTGTTGGGAAAGGATTGATTTTGTAGGGAAAACTCTTTGCCCACAAAATAATTTTGTGGGGATATTTGTGGGGCAAAGCTTGTAGGGAAAGAGTTTACCCAACAAAATATATATCTTTGTCTGGAAAGGTCTAGCCCTACAAATTCTGTGCATACAAATTACTTTCGTCTACAAAGTTTTTACCATACAAGTCCTAGTTTGTAGGAAGAAATACTTTTACCACAAAATAATATTGTAGGCAGAGAAGACGGTTTTCAACACAAAATTGCAAAAAAGGGAATATAATACTTATTGACTTTGTGATCACAAATAAGTCAGTACTTGTTGAAACCACTTTGTAAGTGAAGAGATGAGGTAAACTTACTCATATAGAAGTAGTTTATAGCAAGATAATGAGAAAGGCTATTAAAACATATTAAAGGGGAAACAAATCATATTTAATACTCCCACCGTTCACAAAAATACTTCCCACTTTCTTTTTTGGGCCGTTCCCAAAAATACTTCCCACTTTCCCTTTTTGGACAATTTGTGTGGCTCACATTCATTTTACCTTTATCTTACACAACCACAATCATACATTTCCACTTTATTCCACTTTCTTAATAAGTGTGCCAAGTCAAACCGGGAAGGATTTTTAGGAACAAGGGTAGTAAGTAATAGTAAGAATACTAAATGTTCTATGTAGTGTTAAAGAAAATAAAACTTTTGTTTGCATATGGTACTACATATGAAGTTATGAAAGAAAAACAAAGTAAACTGAAAATAAATAAAATATTCTTGTAACATGAATCTCTATTCCCTGCTATAGTTTGCCTTATTAAAATTTCCTTCTTCATCATCAAGAGTATCATCTTCATTGGATTCTTCATCCTCAATGGAGAGTGGCACATATGGGGGAAGAACAACTGCTGGAATTTGATTGCATAATTGACTCAAAGAGTTATGTCAAGACTGTATTGAAGTTGTGCTCAAGTGCTCAACATTTTTCATTTTTCTTTGCATCAATTCCTCTGCCTCATTCAAGCAACATCTGGCACTTTTCGAGCATCACGTTCAGCTTCTAGCTCATTTGACAATTGCTTGACTTTTGCACAAGATGACCCGCTATCACGAAGACAGCCATCTCCTAAACCACGAATGCGCCATCCTGGTTTTGTACCTAGGACAAATGTCATGATGTATAATCCAACATCCTGATCATCAACAAGTATGTCTTCCAGTGGAATGTCTTCGATCCTTTCTGGTTTCCTTGAGGTAATTAGTAGTTCTAGAAACCATTTCATCCTATAAATTGATAAAAAATAAAATAAAGTTGACATTGCGTGAGATATTTTATTAAGTGTAGACAAAATATAAAGAAATCACCAGGGTGACCGGAACTCGGAAATTCAATAACATAACAAGCTTGAATGTTTATTAACCATGTTATACAGCATCAATAATTGATGAAATTAGCTTTGAATAATCTAACGTAAAAATAGAAATGGTATTGTTTTGTTAGCAAAACCAATATCTTTCAATTTATACAATAGGTTGTTAGATGCAAATATGCTATAGATCTATATCAAACTCATATTAATGTTAATTGATGCTGCATGGGAATCTAATCCAGTAGGATATTAGATATGTATAACCTAAAAGAAATAGAAATTAAAATTTTATTTCAGTTAGATTCAAAGTATCTTAATTTCATATAGGCTGATAAGGAAAGTTACATCAAAAGGTACATCTTACCTGCATGTTGTGCTTTGTCTGTGCTACCAGTCCAAGTTTTGTCCTTTCCACCATAAGTGAACTAGAAGACATCAACCTTTGAAAATTTTGAGCCATCCTATCACAAAATAACCAAGTTATAAATGCATACACTTATTATTTTAAACAACATACAATCATGTGTCTATACTTTACTACCGCCTTTTTTTCAGCCAAGAGATCATCATACTATGTTAACAGAAGGTGCAACAGATGTTAAAGGAAAAAGAGTACTGAGCATAATGCAGAGTTTATTTATTGATCTAAATATAAACTAGCTTTTTCTTTCATGTACAAATAGAGGCATTTAGTGAAAGAGCACATTGTTTTATCTCTTAGAGATCCGTTTTTCCTGCAATTTCTTCCTCTTCTTCACTATTTCACATTGCTCAACTCCTCATTGCTAGACTTCTCTTCCGGCACCACCCCAGCATCTATCTTAAGCCTTCGCATATTTTTCACAGAACTATTTCACTCTTTGACCATAAGAGGGCTGATAACGCATCACTAGAGCTGCAGTCTCTCCATTCAGTGGGTCTGATGGGTTAGGATACAATAGCAGTTGAGGAACAAACACTTCAGTCACATGTACCAGATCAAACATAGGGCTCCATGTCTGGTTTATAACATCTAAGTAAACCGAGCCTGACATATCTTCAAGTATGTATGAGAGAGGACGTGAACTAGTACGATGGTTATTCTGTTTTTTGCAATTCTTTATGTTTGATGATTTGATGATGATCGTGTCTCTAAGAGATACATAAATAATATACAAACAAGTACCATAAAGATACAGAGTTTGCTTAACCATAACCTTTTGCTCTTCAACTATCATCATCATCATTTTCATTTACCCCAGTGCCGCAAAGGCTCCCACCTACGGTGGGGTAAGGGGGGGTCGGATGTACGCAGTCTTACCCCTATACTAAAGCACACAGAGACTGTTTCCGGATGACCCATACTGAAAATCGTGTCCAAAATTGCATGGACTGACTGCTCCTTCATAACAAAGAAGCGCAGACAGTTTAGTGAGCCATTTTGCTCTATTCCATCATATTCTCAAGCCAAAAAATAATGAATCTTTGGCTCCATTGCAAATGATGGAAAATCCTCAACTATATGACATTTTTTTAATATTTAATTCTTAACAAGATATTCTATTAGGACTAAAAATATTGATATTTATGCTTCTGATCTAGTTTACTCTTTTCATAAGCATTGATTTTTTTTAAAACTGAGTTTACAAAAATATATTGAATTACTTTTTAAATTATACTTCTACTTTTCATGCTTCAAAGAAAGAACAATGCATGTAGATATACATGTACCTTAACCTTATCTGAGTTGAAATGGCTACACAAGTCATGCCACTGGTCATCAGCTCTATCAACCATCTCAATTAGCATAATGGTTAAATGCATTATCACGAGTCTTACATGACTTGTAATATGAACTCAGGCACTCAAATCTCCCTTAAACTCTCTATACATAAGAGGAAAAGTAATTTATTAGGCAATTATTAATAAAGATGTAGGACTGTTAATTTCACAAAATAAATTTTAAAAGTTAAAATAAGAAACAGAACAATAACCATATTTTGGACTGAACAACTTACGTTTAAGGAACTTGGATTGGAGGCAGCTCTATGATGAAAATAGTATCCCTGAAAAATATTCATGGAAATAGAAAACAACAAAATGAATGGTGTGTGGAATCAAATAGCACATATAGAGTAAAATAGCATAAGTGCAGATGCAATAAGACCCTTAAGCTATTATTCAATGAATTTACTGTCATGTACAAACAACAAAGGTCACACAATATTCAAAAGAACACAAATGAAGTATATGTGCTCTCATCTAAAGATTTATCCCTCTCAACGAAAATCACGCAATATAAAAATGAACACATTAAATAATTTTTATGAATTTATATCTGTACTATCATCTAAAGATTTATTCAGATGAAGTGCTTGATGACATTCCATAGTATTTGAATAGATAAATTGGAATCAAACAGTAAGCCAAAACAAGAGAGACAAATGTATACTCTGAAACATAAGTTGTTACGTAGTATAATACAAAGAGAGAGCAAAGTAAAGTTTGTTATATCATAAGAAGATAAATATAAAAATATAAAAAGCAATTTGTATTAGCATGGCAACGATTAAATTATACTGGAGTAATAATCTGGCAAGCAATTTGGCATAGCAGGAGTCTAATTTTTACTAACTTCTTTTTTCTGCTTTAGAGGTCTCCAAGAAAATGAATTACGTTAAACAAAAAAAGTAGTAAGTACACAAAATACAGTAGTTGAAGAAATTGAGGGCGGCAATTAGTCGAGCATGAAACCTGCAGGTTGGTGTTTGAAAACTAAATACTTTGTGCGATGAAAGGAATTAGTTCCAGGAACCAACATCAACTCCCATCCCTAGGTTAATTAAGAGCCGCCGCGACAACGACCATCTACGTCACCACAACGAAGTCATTCTGATCGAAGGAGAAAATGGAATCCAAAGAACACGACTAGGGCACACTGTATTTGCCGTATTGTAGTTCAATCTGTGACAAATTTGAGAAAAGCTAGCGGGAACGAGAGTTAGATAAAAGAAATTTGGGGAAAATTTTCAGATTTTAGAGTCAAATAAAATTTTGATTGCCGCTTAATCGTGTCCCCGGTAAAACCTGATAGCGGGGTTTTGACGGGCTTGAGGTCTGCCTTCTGGAGACCGATCTCATAGAAAGTATTCATGTATAGAATGTTTACCGAGCTTCCATTGTCCACGAGGAGTCGATGGACAATGGTATCAAGAACCTCCATTTTCATCATCAGCGCATCCCTATGTGGTGGAGGACACGGTGGCAGGTCATCGTCGGTGAAGATAATGGACTCCCGCTTTTGCTTCTTGTCGGCGGGAAGGCGGTTGATTTCTCCAATAAAGAGTTGTTGATTCCATTTTTTCCTCTCCACCGTTGTGTCTCCGCCTATAGGTCCGTCGTAGATCTGGTTGACATGTGGGCGCTTCTGCCGGCCTGAATCTTCCCCTTCTTCATCTTCCTCAAACTGGGCTCCAACCTCTCTTTTCTTTGAAGTTGAGGCTGGCTCGTTTTTCCCCCTGTTCCAGGTGTTCCTTTTTTGGGGATCTTGATTTTGCCGGATCTTCTTCACGAATTGGTCCAGTTGTCCGTCGCGGGCTAGTTTTTCCACATATCTCTTGAGAATGTAACAATCGTCGGTCTCATGGGTGTCGCTTTTGTGTATTTTACAAAACTTACCCCTAGAGGGTTGATCGTTGACGATGTTACACCCCTCAGGGATCGTGATCAAATATTGCTTAGCTGCACAATCTAAAACCGTATCAACTGGAAACTCAGGCTGGTTAGATAAGGGACCTTCCGGAACATTCGATTTGCCCTTTCCCCAGTCCTTCTTCTTCTTTTTGAACCCGTTCCCCTTTTCATGGTCATGGGTTTCTCTCTCCGAATTCTTCTTTTTCCCGTCAATAGGTTGGGACTTCCCATATTCCTCATCTCTCTTTCATTTCTCTGCTTCTTCAACCTCGGCCTGTGCGTTAGCACGCAACAGGGCCTCCTCGTGTGAGGTCGGGGGGTTGCGTATGAATTATTTGTACAATTCAACCGACCTTAGAGCGTTGGTGAGAATAGCCACAGCAGATTTGTCATCCAAGTCTTCTACTTTAACCGTCTCATATCTCCAGCGAACTAGGAAATCAATCAGGGTTTCTTTGGAGCCCTGCTTGATTCCCAAGAGGTGAGAGACATTCTTTTTGGAATCTTTGGAGGTGGCAAAACGCGCAACGAACGCGCGAGCCAACTCCCGGAAGCTCCTTATCCTTCCATCTGGCAAAGAGTCGTACCATTCTCGGGCTGGCCCATCTAGGGTTATCGAGAATCCTCTACACTTTATAACACCATCGTATCCCATTATGACCATGTAAGCCACGTATCTGGAAACGTGATGCTGGGGGTCCGTTTTTCCCCTGTAGGCCTCGATGTTGCATGGTTTGTATCCTTGAGGCAGTGGTGCCTCCATAATCTGTCTAGTAAAAGGCTCAGGAATTCGCACGCCATGCTCAAGGCCAGTTCTCCCTTCGATCTCCCTTCTGAGCTCGTCCACCTCCTCCTGAGGTCGGTATTGTTGTGACCGGCCTGGGTACGCATCGGAGATTGGTGATCTCTTCGGGCTTGCCTATTCGTGTTGACTCGTCTCTGAGATCTCCCTTACGCGCACTTCGGCGGTGGGACGAAACGGCAGCCGAAGATCCCCCCCCCCCCCCCCCCCCCCCCCTCACTATGCTCCACCCTGGAGGAAAGTCTATCATGAATAGAAATACTCTGCTCGCCAATCTGATTTACCACCGGGATCCTGGGAGTTGCTTCAGATTGATGAAAATGCTGAGATTGGATCGGTGGACAGTGCCTCTGACGTTGAGGGGAGTTTTCCTCTCCTCGTGGGATTATGGATGGGGCCCGGCGAGGGGAAGGAGGTCTCCCGTTAGGGTCAGGAATAATACCTTGGAACGCAGTCGTCAAAGTCTATACTGCCCTTTGAAACGTAGTGAGGCTCGCCAATGCCTGCGCTGGATCCACGTTGGGAATGTTATGTCCAGTGCCCAGCGTCTGAAACTGAGGTGGACGCCCCGCCGTGCGCCTGGAATTTCCCGCGCCGTGAATTTGGTTTCTTAAATCACCTTGAGCAGTGATATTGTCGTCGCGCCTCCGGAAATCACTCCGTCGTGACCTCGAACCTTCATCCTCGATCATGACTTGGTTATAATGATCTCCGCCTTGATTGCTACCAACACGATTATGGTTGTTTGATCCAACCATGATCCTTCGTAGATTCCACTCTCAATGAAAGCACCAAATGATGGAGTTTAATCCAACTACGAGAGCTAAATATACGTAGAGTATAGAAATAATATTGAAATAATATGGCAGCGTAAGGCAGTATTACTCTTATTCCGGAAAACTAATTGCCGATCCCTTGGTAGGGTGTTTACATGAAGTATTTATAGAGATTAGGAGATAGAATTATGGGAGGAATCTAATACAATAAATGCTTAATTAATGAACTATATTCTTGCTCGAAATAGAACTCCTTTTCGTGCTTCATCCTCACGCAATAATCATCTCCTAATTCCGGTCGAGTCGTTCCTGTTGCCAAATATCTATCATCGAATGATAGCTTGCCACGTAGGCCCTAGGAATATCCCGGCCTCACTAGAACTCCGCCCAGGCTCGAGGTCTGCTGTCCAGCCCGGCCTGGCTGTGGCTTCCTATCGTGGGCTTGATTCCTAATGGGCCAAGCGGCTTATTTAATATAAATCTCGTTTATGGGCTAATCCTGTTAATTAGGCTAATCCCCTCAAGGGCTGATCCCGTTTATGGGCTAATCCTGTTAATTAGGCTAATCCTGTCAAGTGCTGATCCCGTTCATGGGCTGGTTTACGTAATTGGGTCATGGCTAGAATCCATGGTACCATCAATAATCTTTAATAAAATTACTATTCTAGTAAAATTGTGATAATTATGATACTAATATAACAAACTTGAAGGTAAACTATGTTGTCATTTAGGACTTTTTGAAGGTTTACTATGTTGTTATTTTGGACTTTTGAAGTTATGATTTGGGAACTTAACAATGGTTATGTTGCTGAATTTTGGAACTTGGAACTTAAATATATGAAGCTATCGACTATGACATGTCACTTGTGTAGTTGTGTTAAATGTGCACGTTGTTGAATATGTTGTTTTTTTTTAGATTTTCCAAAGCCCTATATTATTGATTAGGAACAATTGAAAATAATAATCCCGACTATTGTCGGTCCGCTGAAAATAATCCCAACTATTGATTATTTTTGTATAATCCCAACTATATAGACTATCTGCCAATAATGGTCAATGACCATATATTACTTCTATAAAAAGTGAATTTTAAATAGAAATTAAGCGTAAAAATTAATAGTTGAGATTATTTATAGGGATTACTTGTTATATCTCATCTCATCCACTTTAGAAACTACAAGAATTTATTCATACGGAACATTATTGGCGGAATGTCCCTAAAGTTAGGATTATTCAGTAATAATCAATAGTTGGGATTATTATGAGCGGACCGCCAATAGTTGGGTTTATTACTATCAATTTTTCCAATTGATTATTGAAACTTCGTAAATTGTTACTATTTTTAAGACATACAAAGAGGAACCGAAAAACCCGGACCGGATTGACCCGTTTCAAACGGGTCAGGTAAGGCTCGGTTCCTATATTCAAAATTGCAATACCCGGATCGGACCGGTCTGTACAATGAAACCGGCGATTCCATTTTATTTGGCATTACCCGTCCCGCGCGCAGCCCTACACCACTCCACGAAACTTCCTGAAAATTACCAGCAAATGGCCTGGGACCTCCACCAGCACCGAGCCACCGAGTCCGTAGAACAATTGAAAATTCCCTATGGCCTGCACGCTCACTTTTCTCTCTGACCGGTTTTGATGGTCTCTCCCATCATTATCTGTATCACCGTTTTAAGCCTCTTCGATTTAGCGGTGCAACTTCCAGATCTGTGGTACTCCTTATTGGCCAACGATCAGCAGGCCCCTCCATGAGATCCCCGCTTCTCGCAGATTGCATATTTGCTTATTTGCTGATTTACAGGAGGTAATTCAGTGCTCACACCCAGGGGCGGATCTAGCTTTAACATTCAGTAGGGGCCATTTTTTTTAATGAAGGGCCATAATTTAATTAAATAACATATATATTGTCAAAAAAATAAAAAGTGAAAATGTAGTAAAATAATACTCCGCACTACATTTGTATTATTATTTTCGAGTATAAATTGATATTTGTTGCAACATAAATGTCGAAGACAAAAATAAATATTACAAGAACAAATTTTTGTCAAAGTCAATTTAGAAGTAAACGTTAATATAAAAATAGAATTATATAAAGGCATAAAGCTGAAAACCTAAGAGCTAAAAAATGAATATATAAACAACAAAGTTATTAAAGGCTTAAGGCAATAAAGCCATAATAGCCCTCTCTGAAATGGTTTATAATACTAATTTATAGAAATGCTTAAGTTTTGAAACTCTGAAAAAAAATGGAATAATACACAGAATTCCAAAATTTTAGACGTTTAGAAAACCCTGCTCTCCAATGGAATCGAACACAAGACCTCCACCACGCACACACTGGTCAGCTTCCATATCGCCAACGCAGTCTTGTTGTCAGAATTCGGCTTTTAATATTATTATAGCATTTCCAAATAATTATATATAAATAATACATATATATATATACTACTATTTTTTTTTTTTTGAGTGTGGGCCTAGTCCCTCCCTGGACCTAAGGCAGATCCGCCCCTGCTCACACCCTTTCAGGTCGGCATTGGATATTCACGTTAGCCACTTCTGATGAGCCGCAGGTCGGCGATGAAGTTCGTGGCCCGCGTTGCAAGCCAACAACTCTTCCAAGTCAAGTCTGCAGTAGTCGCTCCGATCAAGCCTTCCTCTGCTATGCGACCGTCACTCACAGGTCGGTGAGGGGCTCTCCATCTAGCTCGGCGGTGATGAACAAGCACACGCCCTCCATCTTCATCTTCTTTGACAATGAATGAAGTCTGTATTTTTGTATGTGTGCGGATGGGCAGAAGGATAAAATAGAAATTTACAAAATAAATACTCGTATTACTTAAATTTTAAGTTTGCGACTGTGTTTATTAATTGTGTGATTGTGAATAGAATTACCCTTTTTGTTATGCTACGTATGACTAATTGTTCACACCCACGATTGCCTTGGAGCGGTTCATTTGTTTTCAATGCCTATGTATCCACCTCACCTTCACGGGCTTTCTATTCCAGTGACGTGTCCATTTTTTAGGGGATATAATCCAATTTCCCATTAAAGATGCTCTGAGAACTGGATGAAAAAGTTGAAACTAAATCTAAAAATATGTTGAACTCTCAATATAAAAATGCACGTTTTTATAAATGTCACACTCGTGTGCGTATAAAATAAAAGAGATGAACATTCACCTTATAATAATGTTTCGAACAAACAGAGTACAAGGTATATTAATTAAACTGAAAGAGTGCATAATAATAAAAGTGAAAGTTGAAGAAAATTACAAAAACACATGTTATGATATGGCCGTACTTAGGGCATCCCCATTGGTAGGATTATGAAGAGATTAAACAAGTGA